TAATATCAATACCAACTACTTTTTGGAAAAATAATATCTCCATGTATATTTTTAATATATTCAATTATATCTGTCTATTCCTGCACAATAAAACATGTAATTGTATTTTTGAATTTCAATTTTTATACATACCTGGATATCAAACTTCAGAACTTTGCTGAATCTGAGTTTCCTTAACTATGCTTTTCATTCTGTTTACCTTTGCTTAGTTATCCCTTATTCTGAATACTCCTGACAAAAAGATTTATCTGGTCTGTCTCTGTGCATAATCCTATTTAGTTACTCAAATAATTAAGAATTAGATAATTAAATTACAGTCTAATTCCTCTTATTATCAAATAACTGTTTTCCTTTTTTGTAAGACATATCTTTAGTAAAGTTGATGTTCCTTGTCCTGGAAGGAACAAGACATGTAGGTTGTACAGCTTTGTTCTGTTCCCAGTGTTGCTTCTGTTTGCAGAATGAGCAGCTGACTTTGGCTGAGTTTGTGGTTACCTGCAGGATCTGATGTTGACGTCCGAGTTAACAGACAAACCCTTCTTTTGGCATAGAGTTTTTGTTCCTCTGCCAGTTCAAGTGAGGCTCCCCTTTTGTTCTGTGCAACCACAAGCTGCCTCTGCTGCTTTCTCCTGGTTAATCACAGACAAGGCCCAACTGTTTGATATGTATCAGCTGAGAGCTAAACAAAAGCCCAGACCTAAATCTCAAATAACAAGAGGAAGAAGGATGCCTCCTTATCAGCCAGGGTCTTATCAAGTGCCTATTGGGTCTAAGAATGGACTCAGACCAAGTTATTAAATTGACTGGTACCACTTGGGATACAATTTATAACATCTGTTATTAGGAAGCCTAAAATTGTTGGTGAAAATGAAAATATAGCCACAGTTTTTTAAGAACCATTGTGGTGATCACTAAGTATGCTGATTAGACCTTTAAGATAGGTATATTAACATACATGTAACTTTATGTGTTACTAGAATACCACCTATTATCAGAAGAAGTAGTCCCTCGTGTTTTTTGTTTTTTTGGGTTTTTTTTATTTTCTGCATCTTAGAATTACCTGTCGGTGAAATGTCTTGAAAAGATTCACTCCTATCCTATTATTGCCTGCCATTCTCACACCCTGGTGACTAACTACGGCCTTTGATTCCAGTTGTCCATACACGACATTTGGACATTCTGTGTTGTAACAAACTTTCTCTCAATGCTGATAGACTATATTTGACAGCTTGCCTGCACATAGCCCCACACATATAACTTTTTATGATAGGGCCATTAAAAATCCCATTAGAAGTGGGTAAATCTGATTTTAAAAAATAGTCATAGGTCAGGAATCTGAATGAAATTCAGCATACCCTAATTTCAGGAATTTTGTGAAAGCATAATATTTGCAAAGTATACAACAATGTCTAGCACATGCACTAAATTGCAGTTATTCTTATCATTTGACACTGTTCACACTTTGGTTTGCCATAGAATTTAAAGTGTATTGTCATTAATCTTAACAAAGACAGTTCTTTATTTTAATTCCAGCAAGGTCTTGGGTGTTTATTTTCCGTTTGTTTGTTTTTTTTCCCCCTCCTTTGGATTGTGACACTGAGGAATGTGTGAGATAATGGTCCTGGAGAGAGTCAGGAATCACTGATTCGCTTTCAGATAAATCACCTGAAGCCTCCTATGTGAAGTTTTGGTCAGAGACATACAGAGGTTCAGATTCTATTTTTTCCTCACCCCTCACAGGTCACATTACAAAAAAAATTCTTCTTAATATCAAACACAAGCAGCTACAGTTTGCACTGGTATCCTCCTCCTCAGGCCCAGGGGAGGTGAAGAGCTCTGAAAGAGCCCTGCCTTTATGTTTAGAGTAGTTCACATCCTTCTCTACCCATCTCCTCCTGAGGCCCCAGCCCCTGGCCCCAAAGACCTGGTATTTAAATTTTATTTTTTTATTTTTATTTTTTAGTTTTATTTTATTGGTATTTAAACTTTGATATACAGCAGGGTGCAGTTCTAATTTCCAGAAAGGTGCTCACATATTTACTCAGACTTCTGCTAAATTATACCAAGGGGAAATAAATTCATCATTTAATCAAATTCAAACCATAGACACTAAATTAAACATTTCCAGTATATTCATTGGGTTTCCCTGGTGGCTCAAAGGGTAAAACGTCTGCCTGCAATGTGGGAGACTCAGGTTTGATCCACGGGTCAGGAAGATCCCCTGGAGAAGGAAATGGCAACCCAATATATTCATTGGTAACTCTGAAAATGAACTTTTATCAAGTAACTACTGTGGTTTTTATGCTCTTTTTTACTTTTCAACAAGATAGTTGTTTTAATATATTTCATGAACATGAACATGAGGTAGTTTTCCATATTAAACCTCTATTGGGCTACATCTAGGAAACAGTGATACATATTTCTCAGGACTCAGGAGATACAGTGTGAAAGGATTGATTCTTCCTAAGATTAGCCATGTTAATTCTCTCATTCCCACAAATTTATGTATTAACTGTTGAAAAAATACTGTAAGATGAATTTCTTAATAATTTCCTAATAATTACTGATTATTTTCAGAGTGATACAATAGCAAATTCCTTTCTAACTAGTGACCTCTATTCATGGATGTATTGCTGTAAAATAATCCACCCTTATCATTTATATTTCTGAGTATCTGAGTAAGGTAGGAACTATTTTTGATATGCGAGAACAAATATTGAGGTAGTAGTGTTCCATGCACTTTCTGTCAGCAAAGGTATCAGCTGTCAGGAACCCCTGATAAGTCCCGTTTCAAGCCAGTAGAGTCTGGATAATACCAAACTACAAGACAACAGTTAGTGTGTGTGAGCTGGAAGTACTGCCAAATTGAATTACCCTCCTCACCCAAAATAAACAGCCTGAAGTTAAACAAAGCTGAGTCATTTATCTGCACGGTATGTAAGGGGCTTCGCTAGGAAGAAAGACCTTTTGATTTGTCCTAGCCATTTTAAAACTACTGCCATTCTCCAAGCCAGATGCTGAAAAGGTCAAAGGGAAGCTTTAAAATATGATAACACTGTCTCGGAGTTGGGGGACATATGGTTCTTGCTAAACAAATGGCAGACTGAATGAATGTTAGATAAGGTTTGCTCTACTCTGGTGCTGCCCTCGGCACAGAATAAAGAACAGCTCTCCTATCCTGACTTTACCACTAACTTAATCTCACCAGTAAAAGTAACTTCAGCTCTTTGGTTCTTAGTTTCTCCATGTGCAATATAAGAAGACTATGAAAGATGCTTTTTCAAGTTTTGTCAAGCTTAAGATCCCATGACCTTAACGGGCTCAGAGAATAGAGGATCTTGTTTCAAATAATCATTTCTTGAGAAAAAAATTATAGGAAAAAATGGTTTTATTTACAGTCTATGAGCCAATTCATAATTTTATTTTAGTGGACAAAGTATCAAAAATCTTTCAAGTACAGTGAAAATAAGGAAGTGAATAATTACATTAGAAACATCAAATAAGAACCAAAGTCACAGAGGGGATTTTGTTAAAATAAAAAACTCATTGTATCAATTCAGCAACCATTAAATTATTAGTACATGCTTAGTTTTAGGGTACTTGTCTTATCTCCTCAGCTATTAGGTTGGATTCTGAAACTGCATTTTCATGGGTTAAAGACAGCTGAATATTATAGATGTGATCTCCCTGGGAGCAGGTGCAGTGCTGGGTGCTCCTTCCTTGTTCCCTGCAGTTCTTTATACAATGCCAGGTACTTTTGTTCTTTGACAATATGTATTGAAAACAGTATTTGTGGACAGAAAGGCCTTTAAGAATCACTTAGTGCAGTATATTAAAGATGAAGAAAATATGACCCCCAAAGTTCTCAGAATTGTAGTTCTTTCAATGTTGAGTATCACACTGAGACATTATACACAAAAAGAATATGCTTTGTAATGTTCTGCCTACAATGAAAGGAGCTTGTCTGATAAATTTTATAGGAATAGTTCTTAGCCAATGAAGTTAGCAAAAGAGAATAAGGGTGGTTCTCAAAATTCTATAAACCTGAAGTCATTCTTTTGTCATTCGTGTTTATACAGCTGTTAACATTTTTGGAAAAAAAATTTTTAAATAGTTAATGCTGACAAGAAAAAGTAATGCAAAGGAACATAGTAATACCAGCATAAAAACATTATCTGAATCTGAAATATGATCCCTAAATATGTTACTTTACTGTATTTGATAACCTTCAGTGTCTATAAGGAAGCACCTTCCACTTGTAGATTTAGTTACTGTTTATAGAAAGGTGTCATGGCTTAGCCAAATTAGAAATAGACTAAGTGCAAAGATGTTTATAGGTCAGGCTTATAACTTAGGTCTTATATACTGTGAAACTGCATTTTTCGTGACATCTCTCTGTCATTTTAATTATAAAATCATCACATTTTAGAGCATTTGGTTTAATATTTGTCAGTAACAGTTTATATTGAAGCCTGGAAAACCTCCAAATGGTATAGTCTAACACTCTGTATTTACAAATGAGGAAGCTAAGGCCCAGAGAATTTAAGAAATTTGAATTTAATTAGAGTTAAGGCACGGAATAAGTTGAAACTTGGACATGTAGTGTATTGCTACAGCTAATATGCCATTTATTCTACTTTTAACTGTAAGATGTTTTCCTCATATATTTATACCCTTTCAAAGGTAGGGTGAAGATTAAATATATAATGCTCTGACCTTGGTGCTTGGAATAAAGTAGACAGAAGGCTTATATTACACTATGATGTGTTATGAATATATTTATAAGCTGTGTCCAAATTTGATGACTGTAGGCAATTGGTGATTTATTGAGTCTAGGACAAGTCTGTCATACTTTGACAAATTTTCCAGTTTTCCAAACCCTTGGGAAAAACTTTGAAACAAAAGTAAAGCTTTGAAACAAAAACCTATTAGATACACAGCCTAAGTGTATCTTAGCCTAAGCCTAAATCTTATGACTGATTGTTTGTTTTTCCTGATAGAAACATGAGTTCAGCTGGCCCTGAAGGGAGAAAAGTGATGAGGAGGTGTGATGGACTGATTGACTCACTGGTCCATTATGTCAGAGGCACCATTGCGGATTACCAGCCAGATGACAAGGTGATTTAAGAGTTAGATATCTCTCATATTAAACTACTTATTTTGTCTTACTAAGACTTCAGAGTATTCTTGAAGTAGCCGCTAGGGTTTGGTTTTATTCATTAACTCATTTGTTGAGCTTAAAATTTCCCATACATGCTCATAAATTTTAAAATCTATGTAGTCCGGTTTTTCTTTCTACTTTCCAGACCCAAATTTCAAACTGTATAACACCTCTAGATATTTGAAAGGAGCTTAGATGCTACATTTTCAGCAATGAAATTCATCTCTTCCTTCATCCCCAAACTTGCTCCTCTGTATAATCCTTCTTAATAGTTATTACCATCTACCAAATGAAAATAGAAATCTAAGTAATCTAGGACTTCCTCTCTTCCATCACATCCCACATCCACTGGACAACAAATCATGTGCATTCTACTTCTGAAATACTCTTTAGTTTAACCACTCCTCTTTAATGCTGCTACTGTACCCTAATTTGTGCATCTTTTCATACTGACTATTATAGTCAACTCCTGATTGGTCCCTATAAGCAATATCTCCTCCTGTTTTCCAACTCCACATGGCTGGTAAACAATGTACCTAAAATATAAAATCATTCTGAACACTCTGTAAAACCAATGTTTTAAAAAATTTAGCTTCTACTTCTTAGCATTATGCTCTTGACCATTTATGATTTAACCGTAGCCTTTCTAACCATACTTAGTCACTCCCCCAGGCACCCCCTAGTCCAGGCACACCATTGCATCCAGTTAACCTTGTAAGATCTAAAGCCTCAAAAGTTCTGTGATATGATACCTGCAAAGTTACCTGTATATACATATATATAATCAATATTCATGTCCTATTTCTCAGGCCACAGAGAACTGTGTGTGCATTCTTCATAACCTCTCCTACCAGCTGGAGGCAGAGCTCCCAGAGAAATACTCTCAGAGTATTTATATTCAAAACCGGAATATCCAGGCTGACAACAACAAAAGTATTGGGTGTTTTGGCAGTCGAAGCAGAAAAGTAAAAGAGGTATACTGGGAAGTCTTTGAAAGAATAAGTGTGCGTGTGTATTTCTAAGTACTTAGTATATGTCCAGCTCTATTTTAAGTTCCTTTAATCTTTGTATCAATCCTATGAGGTGTGTATTATTAATATTTTCCTTTACTGATGAGGAAACAGAGATACAGAAAAGTTAATTGATTTTCCCGAAATAACTCAGCGAATTAGTGGTGGAGATAGAATTCCATCCCAGGCAATCTGGCCCCAGATTTATGTTGTTAGCCATCAAACCATACTATTCTGTGCCCCACAGTTTAGGAAGTAAACCTAATACCATGTGGCCAGTGGTATAGCATTGTCTTAACATTAAAAGAAGCCCAGACATTCAGCTTTAAATGTTCTAGAAAACAAACAAGACATCCTAAAAGCAAACCGCATAGGAAGAATACCTTCCAGACTGGCATTTTATGAAAATTGAAGGAATGTGATCTCTCCTACTCTTCAGAGTACCACAGTGTTGACGAACTTGGAGAATACCTGGTAAATTTAGAATCCTCATGCTATTCTGGACAACTTCACAAGACTCTGTGAAAAGAGGCCTGTTTTTCTTATCTTCAGAGCAGTTGTGACTAATTTAGCTTTTAGCTTATCAGCAGCCTGAAAAATATTCTAGAACAGTCTTTGCTTAATTCTCTGTATTCTCTCTCATGGTGAGGGAGAAATAATCATCATGGGCTAAAAGTTAAGTGATTGTAAATCATACATGTGTGCCTTTTTAATGTTTAAGGTCTTCTTATTAGTCTCTCTAGATAAGACAATACTTCTGGTCTCTTGGTTTGGGTATGGAATTGTAGAAATCACTTGAAGTCTTTAATTTTGGATTCCATTGTGTGTGTGTTAGCAATACCAGGACATGCCAATGCCAGAGGAAAAGAGCAACCCCAAGGGCGTGGAGTGGCTGTGGCACTCCATCGTGATACGAATGTATTTGTCCTTGATCGCCAAGAGTGTCCGAAACTATACTCAAGAAGCATCTTTGGGAGCTCTCCAGAATCTCACAGCAGGAAGTGGACCAGTGAGTATCGTGCTACTTTTAAAAATAATGACATTATAGAGACACCTACATTAAGTTCAGAAATGATAGTGAAGTAAAACCATCAGTTTTCTTGCTTTAGTCAAGAAAGTTCTCAGGAATTGCCAGAGAGTTTGGCTTTCCAGGACTTTCAGCCTCAGCTTCTGCAGAGCCAAGTCAAACTGTAAGTGAAAGACTCAGTATTTATCAGTGTTAGTCAGAGCTCTTTCAGCTAGAAGTCTCAAAATCCTACCTAAACTGGCTTAGGCAAAAGAAAGGAATTTCTTGACTCATATCACTGAAAGTCCAGGATGGGTTTTCCTTCTATCATGGTGGGATGTAGGTGCCCCAGGATTATAATTGTGATTCTCTATCTCTGGCCTTTGTTTTCTTTCCTCTGTTGGTTTATTTCTCCAAGGCTTTCTTCATATTACAGCAAAGATAGCCACCGGTGATTTCAGGCTTACCTATCATCCAGCCCAGTGTCTCCACAAGAAAAGAAACTGCTGCTATTTTCCCAGTAGCTCTAAGAACTTAGCCATTTGCAAATCAGGTTTTGTGGCTAGGAGTCTGTGATGTTCTAACTGGTCAATTCTGAGTTGTGTGCTCACATGTGAATTTCAGGGGCATGTGGTTGAGTGAGCAAGGTTTACTGCCACTTGTACCATGTAGAGTGACTCTCTGATGGAAAGTCAGTGTTGTTAACAAAAGAATGACTGCAAGAAGGCAGAGACAACATATGTCCACTGCAGTTGGAAAGGACGTCTGTGCTTTTGTGTCCCAGAAAGTCAACTACAAAATGAAAAGTACATCTCTTTTCAAATGTACTTACTTTATACCAGCAAAATCAAAATATTAAAAAGAGTAAAAACTTACAAGGTCCTGTGATAAGCCATAATGGAAAAGAATATGAAAAGGAATGTGTATATATATGTATGTATACCTGAATCACTTTGCTATATAGCAGAAAGTAACACAGCACTGTAAATCAACTGTACTCCAATAAAATTTTATTTATTTTTTTATTCTTTGCCCACCCCACATGGCATGTGGGATCTTAATTCCCGAACCAGAGATCAAACCTGCATCCTCTGCATTGGAAGTGCAGAGTCTTAATCAATGAACCACCAGGGAAGTCTTAAAAAATTATTTTAAAAAAGAGTAAAAACTTGTTCCTTCTTCCATGTATTTTGCAACATAGTAAGGAATTCTATAAATATTTAATTATTTGAACTAAGCTTGTGTTCTTTGCCTTGATCATAAAATGATTAATCTCTCTTCCAATAGTTCATTATAAGGCCAGCCTAATTATCCATCTTCAGAGAGGAAGGCACTCTTGTAGATAACAAAAATATTATTTGTTCTTTACTTGAGAAGCCATGTTCATTCTTTTATTGTGTTTATACAAAAGTTTGTTCAGCTTTGAATAAAATTGTGAAATACTGAAGCCAGTATTTCTCTAATTTTAGCACTGTGGTTAAGAATACAACCAAACTTTAATCACTTTGAAATTCTTTAAAACATACTTGTGCACAAGGAGAAGAAAATGGGGAGTGGCCAGGGAGCCCTGACAGACAGAGAGACATAGTTTATCATCTTATCTTCCCACTTCCCCATGCTTGGTTTCCCAAAACCACTTCTTTCATTTTCCCAAACTACAGAGGCTCTTATTAACTGACAACCAGTCAACTTAATAGAAAAGATCAGAAATTAAATTGCTTTGTATTTATGATTTAAGCTCACTGTGCTCTGAGGGTGGTTCAATATGAGCTAACCCTTTAATTTGGATTTTAGCCTCTTCCATTCCAAAATCTATGTTGGAATCAAAACCATTCAGAAGTGTTTCCATATTCCTATCAAAACAAGAATATTTGCCATCTAATATACAGGAATATGCCACTTCAATTCTGAATATGTAGTTTGTTACCTAGATTCTAATTCCTCTATTCATTTATTAAACAGTATTTGAGCACTAAAAGGTACTAGACTAGTGCTAAGCATGTAGTGATGAATAAGACAAAATCTCTGTGTTTGGTAATAATCTAGCTGGGATAAAATAAATAAATAAATAAACAGAAATCTAAGATTCCAGGAGAATTCTGACTCCAAAAGGAATCCAGGAAATGGAGATATCTTCACAACTGTTCTAATTATTTGAAGGCATTTAAAATCATACCTAACCTTAGACCAGTCCAGTCCCCTGAAAGGAGACCTGTACTAAACTGGTATTAATATGTACCCAAAGCTGTTGGAGTTGAACTTAAATAGAGATTTATAGGAGAAAATTATTAGCAGCATGGGACTGCTGCTATGATAATGATAGAGGACTCTTTATTCTTGATAAAGACTCTTTATTCTTGATATTTATTCAATGATAAGAGGGCTCTTTATTCTTTTAAGTTGTGAGATGCTTTTTATTAAAGTTTTGACTTATATGTATTTCTTTTCTAATTATTGCATTCCCTGATTTCTGTGTTAGATATATGATAAAAAGAATACTTGGCTTTGTAATTTATGAAAGGAATCACTGAATAGAAAAACATGAAAAACTGGCCATTAAACATAGTTCTGGAAAATACTCCATCCATCTACCTGTGTTCATAACAGAAACATCACTGAAAATTGATGGCCATGTTTCTTAGATGGCAAAGAACCTGAACTGGACTGAATAGCTTAGAGTATGGAATTTTTATATAAAATATGACAGTAATTTCTTGTCAGTAAGAATACCTTAATATAAACTTTATTAGCTCAAGTATAATGGCCATTATCTTTAAATGACACAAAAAACACAAAAAACATAAGGAAAGGGGATGGGATGATAAAATTTGCCCATTTAGAAAATTCTCTAAATATAATGTGAAGTATAAAGTATAATATAAATAACTTCTGGGGGTGTAGTGTACAGCACGGTGACTATAGTTAACAGTAACTGTATCAGTTCTCATCACAGAAGGAAAAAAATTGTGACTATGTGTCATGATGGGTGTTATCTAAACCTATTGTGGTAATTATTTCACAAATGTATATCAATACATGTATCAACTCATTATGTTGTATACAGGTAAAACTAAAAAGTACATTGCACAAGTTAAAATCCATTGAAATAAGCAGTTTTCAAGTTTCTAAAACACTGAAGGCACTTAATTTGATACCCACTGAAAAAAAAAAAACAAAACAAATTTCTTATATCACACCTTACTTACCCACAGATTAGTTCCAACAGCAGTGCGATTTAAATGTGGAAGATAGAACAATAGAGATTCTAAATGTTAACATAGAATATCTTCATGACCAGAAATAGGGAAAGATTTCTTAACAGTAGACATAAAAAGCACATAAAAGTTTCATGAATTGATTACATAAAAATTAATAGCTTATGCTAGCAAACAAGCACAAACTGTAATCAAGATTGCCAGGAGAAATATCAATAACTTCAGATATGCAGATGACACCACCCTTATGGCAGAAAGTGAAGAAGAACTAAAGAGCCTCTTGCTGAACATGAAAGAGGAGAGTGAAAAAGTTGGCTTAAAACTCAGCATTCAGAAAGCCAAGATCATGGCATCTGGTCCCATCACTTCATGGCAAATAGATGGGAAAACAGTGGAAACAGTGACAGACTTCATTTTGGGGGGCTCCAAAATCACTGCAGATGGTGACTGCAGCCATGATATTAAAAGATGCTTGCTCTTTGGAAGAAAAGCTATGACCAACCTAGACAGCATATTAAAAAGCAGAAACATCACTTTACTGACAAAAGTCCGTACATTAAAAGCTATGGTTTTTCCAGTAGTCATGTATGGATGTGGGAGTTGGATTATAAAGAAAGCTGAGCACTGAAGAATTGATGGTTTTGAACTGTGGTGTTGGAGAAGACTCTTGAGAGTCCCTTGGACAGCAAGGAGATCCAACCAGTTCATCCTAATGGAAATCAGTCCTGAATATTCATTGGAAGGACTGATGGTGAAGCTGAAACTCCAATACTTTGGCCACCTGATTCGAAGAACTGATTCATTTGTAAAGACCCTGATGCTGGGAAAGATTGAAGGCAGGAGGAGAAGGGGACAACAGAGGATGAGATGGTTGGATGGCATCACTGACTCAATATTTGGGTAAACTCTGGGAGTTGGTGATGGACAGGGAGGCCTGGTATGCTGCAGTCCATGCTGTCAAAAAGAGTCGGACATGACTGACTGACTGAACTGAACTGATGCTAGCAAAAGACGGTAAAAAGGCAAAGCACAGAAGAGGAAAAGATTTCGATAACATATATAAGTAACAAAGGTTGGTATCTAGGAAATATTTTTAAAAAAACTCATCAATTTAACAATGAAAGGATAGACAACCAAATTGAAAATGGACAAGAGATTTAAACAGGCATTTCACAAAATATAATCTAGAAATAGCCATTAAACATTTGTAAGATGCTCAGCCTTGTTAGTAATCAGGACAATATGAACTAGAATTGCTATGTGTAAATAGTTATAGCAGTCATTTTCACAAATTCCCTAAAACTGGAATATGAAATCTCTATTTGGTAGATCTCATTGCTTATTTTCCTTAATGAGCAAATTCTAAAGGCCATGCCATGTCAGCCTCTCCCATTTCCTTCAGTGAATCAGAATTCATGTTTCCATAATCATTTTTATACACTAGACCTTGAGATGACAAAGAAAATGCTATGAAAGTGGTAGAGCTCAATGGCAGTGACTCAGAAGAGCAGAGCTTTTGCATATGAGGAAAGATGTAATTACTTAGGTGGACCATTGGAAAGAGAGATGGATACCTCCATGTTCAAGGAGGAGGAGTTTTACAGAATCCTACAGAGGAAGGATTTTTCTCAGAGGAGAGAAAAGAATCTAATGGAATGTTCTGCAAATTAGTGAAAGACAAAGCATAACTTTGGAATAAACATTGCAAAATAGTGGTTATTAAACTTCCATGAGATACTCATGGATATTTTGAGTATCTAATAAAAATGATAGATTCTTTCCTTGAGAAAGATTATTATAAACACAAAAATAATTTTAAGGACCTCCTGTTCCCTCCCTGAAACCAATCCTAGCTCCTATATTAACTCCTTCTCTGGAAGGTATAGTGGAGAATATAAGGAGAACAGTCTGCAGGAGGTAGGGAAAGCAAGCAGTGTTAGGTAAGATAAACAGGAGATAGACACCCTCAAGAATGGTTAAGAATGTATGGATTTTTGGCACAGTGACCTAATATTAGCTTCAAATAAAAATACATGAAGTTGCAGACACAAGTTAAGGCCCCAGTATTGGGGGTTTGCTAATGCCAGGTAGGGCCTACTTGGTACTCAGACCTGTGAAAGTAGGTGACCAACCTGATTCCAAGTAAGATTTGCTTCTGGTGGACTTAAGACCTGAAACAAGAAACTTGCATATGCAGCCTCCCATACAGAGCATAGAGTTACAGGTAATCTGACTAGCCATACACTCCTTTCTTTTAAAGTCCAATATATCTTTCAGAATAAACTGGCTTTTTAGAAATGAATAAGTTTATTAAAATATATAAAATGCCAAAGGTTAAACTAGAGAAAAAGAAAATATGAATAAGCCAACAGCCAGTAAATACATTTAAACAGTAATCAAAGACATCTCCCTATAAGATTTTTCTCAGCTCAGTAGGCTTATAGCTAAGTTCTACCAGAGCCACAAAGTTGAGAGTATTTTTGTATTACACACATAGTTTTAAGAAAATAGAAAAAGGAAAAAAACTTAATAAATTTTATGACATTAGTATAAATTTCATCCTAAAACATTCTTTTCACAACAATGAACTGAAAATGTGAGTAAAAAGCAGAATATGATGAAAAAGAAAGGAAAGGGAAAGACAGACCCATTTTATTTATGAAGTAAAGTGAAATGAAGTCGCTCAGTTGTGTCCGACTCTTTGTGACCCCATGGACTGTAGCCCACCAGGTTCCTCGGTCCACGGGATTTTCCAGGCATGAATACTGGAGTGGGTTGCTATTTCCTTCTGCAGGGGATCTTCCAGACCCAGGGATCAAACCCAGCTCTCCCGCACTGTAGGCAGACTCTTTACCATCTTGGCTAAACTGATGCAAAAAACATTGTAGCTAACCAAATCCAATATTTTTATTTTAAAATACTGAATAAACTGTCTTTATCCAGTAATTGAAAACTTAATAAGAATTTGAAGCTAGCTTTTTAAACATATTTACATCTTATATAAACATCTTATATATTACAATCTCTAGTAATCTACAGAAACTTAGAAATTTTACCCCAAAATGAAATATAGTAGTATTTATAGGACATGTCTCACAAAACAGATGCCAACATCAGTAGCTCAGACAGTTGTCCAGAAGGAAAATGGCCTTCAGCACACACGAAAGATGCTGCATGTTGGTGATCCAAGTGTGAAAAAGACTGCCGTCTCTCTGCTGAGGAATTTGTCTCGGAATCTTTCTCTACAGAATGAAATTGGTGAGTATAAATCTCTAGATGTAATGTGTCTGTATTGAAAATACAAATGCACTAAAACAAAAACATTGTCCTTATCCCATTCTTTTTACAATGATGAGTTGAAAGTGTGAATAAAAAGAAAAATGTGATCAATAGAACTGGGTTTCATGTACCTAGACATCAAGAGTAGACTTTCACACTGGTCTCAAATAGAATTTTTCTTAATATCCAACTTCATTTTTGTTTCAATTACTACTGAAGAAAAATTTTAAACCATACTAATAATGAACAAGATAGGTAATATATATGATATTTCTTGGCCCTCAGCTATGCCATCTGAAGAAGTCTTTTTTAAACCATGTCTTTCAGAATGTTCTGTGTAATCTGCTTAAGCACCATCCTTCTAAAACATTAAATAAACACACACACACACACACACACACACACAGTGATTGTTCACTTAAGAAGCTTGGTCATTGTTATACTAGAAAAAATGGACGGACAGATAATCACAGAAAGAATGAGTCATTGAATATAGCAGACTTGGCATAGGTTTTAGAATAAATACGATAAAACACATTTGCTCCCTTTTTTATAAGCCCATATTATTGACAAAAATGATAACATGTTACCCTTTCAAATAACATAATTTTTTATTCATTTTCTTTATATCTGAATACGTAAATGTTTGTGAATTAAGTCAAAAGCTGTAAAATGAGATAATGCTAAAATTAATCATGCTTCCTAATGTTCCATAGTCATTTCAGACTACTTAAAATTTAATTTTTCAGAAATTCCAGTATAGTTGTTTGTTTTTAATGAATTAGATTACTTTGGAATCTACACACAAACTCACACAGTGTGGTTGTGTTTTAATAATGTCATTTTCAAAGACAACCAACAGCACAACATTGAACAGGAGGTTTCATACAATGGTTTTGTGCCCATTATAAATATAGAGAGCCTGGAAATTTTTCAGTGAAATCTGAAAGAAACTTTGCCAAAGGCAGTGTCTCAAAATTATGAAAGTGTTCTCCTCATTGACTTTTATGGACTTTTGTGCTGTACTTCAATCAGGTGTATTATCCTTTGATTTTTTTTTTCTCTCAAATGAAATATTGACTCCATCTTTAGAACACAGCTGATGAGAAGAATTGTGCTCTACACACTGAGCCTGTGCCTTCAGGGCAGAAATGCTATTGTTTCAGGTTCCACCGTCCTCCAGCTGTGGGGATAATAGAGCTGTAGCCCCACAAGTTACGTAAGGTGATTTCACTGATAAACCTCTCCAGGTTTTATGGACAATCATGAGAAGAGGCTTCAGTAAGATAAATGCAATTTTTGAATTCCATATTGGCATTATGTCAAATATGTAATTTGAGTAAAATAACCTGTCTTGATTTAGAGTATTAATAGCCAGAAAGAAACGAAAATCAGTTTGAAACATAAGCTTTTTGTTTTTCTTGAGATTTGTAGGCCAAGTAAAACTTTCCATGTGTTGACTTGGAATGAAGTCATCACATTTTACTTAGATTTACAGAAATAAACTTGAAATTATATTTTCTTAAAAACTTGAAGATAGGCAATTTAGCATGGTGACAGAATAATAATAAAAAGGTCTCATGCAGAAGACACTGATCTGTGTCTTCCAATGCTACTTTGCCACATGTCACCTTGGATAGTCATTTAACTGCCCTAAGCTGAGTAAAATTAGTAATAATTATGAACAGTGTTTTTCCAGGGATCAGATAACCTAATGTATGTGAAAGCACCAGCATTAAATAAAGTCTCCCTCAACAATATGACATTGAGCTATGACCCTCCAATATCATGATAGGACCCTTAATGTTATATTTCACTGTTGAAGATCTAATTTTAACTATCTCAAAGTGAATGTATTTACTTAGGTCCACAGGGTATGTGTGTGTGTGTATAAAGACAGAATGACCCTCCTTTACTATATTGTAATATTTTTTGTCATTGTAAGCAGTTAAATTACTTTTCTAAGAAAAACAAACAAGATATAAAATGTTAAAGACTCTAATTTCTCTAATTCTCACTCCTCCTCAAACATAAGCCAAAGTTTCAACCATAAAATTGATCTGTAGAATTGAACGTTCTTGTTGGTCACACAGAGGCAGGAGAACTGAAACTCTCAGCAGGGATCAGTCTCAGGCTTGGCAGCCTGGTCTCAGCCAGCCATAGCTGCATCCTGCAGAAAGATCAGTTAGGCATTTTCTGGTGTCATTGCCTCACACTTGTTTTCATGCTGTCAGCCTAAATTCAGCAAAAGGAAAATTCAGGTTCTCAAGGCTTTTCATTTTGTGTTTTACCTTTCTAAAAGGAGGAAGCCTTCTGGTAATAACTCACATCTGTGGAGAACTTACTGTGTGCAGAGAACTGTGACACAGTTCACACATAGTAACTCATTTAATCCCCTCAAAACAGTCCTGTGAAGTAAATACTATTATTATCCCATTTTACATATTGGGAAAATGTAGCATAGGAGAGGTTAAGTAGCATGCCCAGACCACACAGCCATGAAGTGGCAGAGACAGGACTAAAATTTTAAAAGTGTAGCTTCAGAGACTCAGCTCTGAGAGCCAGCATTACGCTGTGATGCTTAGACAACAGTGAAAAAGGAAGTGTTCAGGCCTTTGAGCAGAAGGTATGGTTTTCCTGTCAATCAGTTCCAGGTATTATCAAAGGAAGACATACAGTTCATTTCCTTTTATTGAGTTTCTCTTTTAGGCATAGTGATCGATGTTGAAATCCAGAAATAAATACAATAATTATCCTCAAGAAACTCATAGTTCCATTTAGAATTCAGACAGGCATGTAACTAATTACAGTCTGGTATTAGAGAGAGGGATTACCAAGTGGCACAGTGGTAAAGAACCTGCCTGCCAGTGCAAGAGATGCAAGGAAGATCCTCTGGAGTAGGAAGAGACAACCCACTCCAATAATTGTTCTTGCCTGAAAAATCCAATGGACATAGGAACCTGGCAGGCTGCAAGTCCAGTGGGTCACAGAAAGTCAGATACGACAAGTGACTAAACACACACAGCACCAGTATTCTTTCCTGAAAATTTCTATGGACAGAGGAGCCTGTTGAGTTACAGTCCATGGGGTCACAAAGAGTCAGATATGACTGAGCATGCATGCATGTATCAGAGAGAGAAGTGCAGTTCAAGGTGCCATGTAAACTCAAATGAAGAAACAATGAAGTTAGGCAGAAGTATTTGTACAACCATGATAAAAACAGCACTGTATTAAAGAGCTGTGAGCAACAACAAAAGCAATAGAAGCATGCTATCTTTCAAGGAGAGTCCAAAGTAGTTAGAGGTGGAGAAAAAAGAAAACCTCTCTTGTTACAATAGAAAAAGCTAAACAAAAACTCTGTAACCAGGATCTTACATATGTAGTGAAAAAATAAATTTTAAATAGTTTATCTTTTTTTAAATAATGTTGTTATTTTCACATTAAGGAAACTTTGGGCAGTACAGATAATTTTTAAAGAATATTTTGAGATCACCATCAATATTGTAGAAAAATAAGTCCTATTAGTATTTTAGTGTATTTCTTCTCAGGTTTCTTCTGTATGAGTTTTTCTTTAAGTGTATCAGTTATTTGCACATGAAATATTAATAAATATTTTCTTGTTATTATACATGCTTCATAGATATGTTTTGGGATGCATGAGATTCTTTGAAGATATGTTTTAATTAATCATAGTCATATTACGGGGATATTTAGACTTTGTAAATTTTTCATTTTATATAACACTATAATAAAGATCTCTGCTTTTTCAGTTTTTAAAGTGATATCTTCAGGATGAATTCTTAAAAGTGAAAATACTGAATCAAAAAATGTGAATATTAAAAAAAAATTTTTGACATTTCTGTCAGATTGCTTTCTGGAAAGAGTTCCAGTGCGCTGAGCACAGAATATCATATTTTTTAAAATCTTTTTTTTTTTTGTAATTTGAATATTAAAATGGTTGCATCCTTTCATACTTGCTAACCAAATGTTTCTTCTTATTGTTATTGAGATCCTAAGGTTAAGAAACAATCTTTTTAATCAAGTGTTCTTTTTTCTTTCATTTGTAGCCAAAGAAACTCTACCTGATTTGGTTTCCATAATTCCTGACACAGTCCCAAGTACTGATCTTCTCATTGAAACTACAGCTTCTGCCTGTTACACATTGAACAATATAATCCAAAATAGTTACCAGAATGCACGGGATCTTCTAAACACTGGGGGCCTGCAGAAAATTATGACCATAAGCGCAGGTGACACGTAAGTCCTTTAGCACTGCCTGTCAATGTCTCCCCTTTCCCCACCACCAATCCCATATATAAAAAATGTAGTGAATGTTCAGTCTTTGAGTACCATGGCCAAAAAATAAGATTGTAAAGCTGGGCCAGATCATGTGGCCCAGTCCTTGGTGATCAGTTAAGTGAAAACCTGAATCCTCTAAGCCAAATAGTTGTTCATTCTCTACTGAAATATCCAGAAATAGTCAAACTTCATAACTTATCTGAGTCATGCATTCCAGTATTTTATTGACCTAATGAATTGTTTCCCAGAGCCATAGCTGTGATTTAAGAAGAGAAGAATGTAGGCAAATTAGAGTCCTATGGACAAGGAATGCCCTTATCCTCACTTAACTATGTGAAACCAGGGTCACCCCAGGAGGAGAAGTAGGAGGCAACATAACAAGAAGTTCTTGCTTCCTCAGTTTTCTTTATCACATCTCCTCCACCTCTTACTCTCTTTTGAAAGTAGAAGGTTTAATGCATGTAAGTCATCTCAGATCCTTGTTTCTGTGTCTTTAAATACTCTCCATTTTTTAAAAAAAGATGAAGAAGAATGTAACTAATTATTACTGTTAGTTAATTAACAGTGGTGGGATTCCAAGGAGGTATGAAGATTATTATTTTTTCTCTTTATACAATTCTGAATTGTTTGACTTGTTAAATAAAATTAGTGTTGTAAGTAACCATAAAAGAAAACCAATGTTATTATAGTCCAGACTCATAATGAGTTGCAAAGCAAATGGACTTTTGGCTTGTCATAGACAAACGTGTGCTTGGCTGCACAGGGGCTAGCATAGGGATCTGTGGTATCCTAGAATGAGCACATCCCTTCTCCCACAGCTCCATCCCATTTAGCCCCTTGTGCTTTGTGATTTCCCTTCTGCAAAGTTCACAGGGAAGGGGGACTCCATTCAGAGTCACATGATTAAAAAGAGCACAGTTAGAATGTCAGTTTCCCAAAAGCAGGGAATATTTACCTGTTTCCATGTAGCAGTTTCTCTGCCTTTGTGGAAAGTCATCTTTGACTTTCCTTTGTGGAAATAGTCATCCAAACTTCTAACCAAATCTCCATAGACTGTATATGACTTTTTTTTAATATGAGTATTCAGACATCATAATAAGCACAAGGGAATATTCCATCACTTTTGGAAATTTCTTGTAGCTTAGCCAGTTATGGGGTGTGCTGTTCTGTTACCTCTTTGTTGTACTGAGTATCCATTTGTAAGTTCGTCCTCACGTGTTCTGTCTCAGAAAAAAAACCAACAAGGACACCCTCCCATTGGGTCTGCTTCCTTGCTAGAGTGTTGTATAGCTAACCCATAATTTATAGACTAGCCTGATAACCAATCATCAATTATATTTCCTCTTTGAGTAAATGAGTTCCAAGTGCCAAACTTACAAACAGACTTTGTAACACCTTTGCAATTTAAGAACTTTCAATAATAAATATTAGAGCTCCATAGCTTTCATGGATGTCCTAATACTTCAGTTATTAGCAAGTCACTCTGAAAAGCCCCTGAGATACTAAAGAATCTGTGAAGTGCTAATTTGACTTACCCTCCCTATTATGCTGGTAGCTAGCTATTGAATGAGCCCAGCATGGGCTTCCTCATACAGCTTTGCATTCTCTATTCTTGGTTGCATACTTACAAATTCCTATGATAGGAAAAATAAAATCTTTTGTTTATTTGTTCAGAGAAGAAAATACAGTCAGGTGCTAATTCAAGTGATAAAATTCAAGAGAAAAATATATATGAAAGTAGTGATCTTTAGCCAGAAACTAGAAGTTTGAGATGAATTTAAAAGAACATCAAAAACTAAGAACATATAATAATAATAATAAAGTTAAAACAAAAAAAAAGTAAGAGGACGTCCCTGGCTGTCCAGTGGTTGAGACTCCACACTTCCAATGCAGGGAGCTTGAGTTTGATCCCTGGTCAGGGAACTAGAATTCCCACATGCTGTGCAGTGTGGCCAAAAAAAAGTAAGGACAGTGTCAAAATCAGGGGTGACTCGGATTTATAACAGGAACACATTTTCCATTTGCTATACAAGAAAGCATAAATTTTTAAACTATTTTAAATGCTCCAGTAAGAATTTATTAATTTGAAAAAGATACGTAACTCCTACATTCATGGAGTCACTAAGTCTAAGAGTTATACATATTTTTCAGTCATACTTTCAATGGTTGGCTCTATAAATATGCATTATAGACAAATATTTTCTAAAAATATAAAATATAAATACAAATATAGATTTTATTCTATAAATTCAGGGATTTATAAAACTTTTAAGAATATATGCCTTATAAATATCAGGAGGGGCTTCCCTGGTGGCTCAGATGGTAAAGTATCTGTCTGCAAATTTGCTTTATAACTATTTAGTTGTTAGCACTTTGCTAGTGGTTTAAAAAGATTAAAAAAAAAAACAAACGCACCCACGTGGCTCCTGCCTCCTAAAGCTCTCCATCCTAACCTCTTGTCATGGTGAGTGGCCTGACTTAATGGATGGCTCCTGAGCAACAGCAATTAAAGAAGATTTACAGAAGATCCAAGGGTAGCATCCAGAAGCCTCACACATTCTCACTGATCAGGGGAAATGTCCTTTTCTTATTTTCAGCTGCGCCTCCAGCAAAGCAAGTAAAGCTGCTTCTGTTCTCCTGTATTCTCTGTGGACCCACGCAGAGCTCCATAATGCCTACAAGAAGGTAAGAATGCTAAAAAGAGCCAGCTAATGATGTCCCACTTGATTTGACCCTGGTGATAAGTTACTAAAACCTACATTGTCTTGTGTGTAAATGTTGTTACCTTTCACATTTCTGTTTGCTTATTCCAAAGGCTCAGTTTAAGAAGACAGATTTTGTCAACAGCAGGACTACCAAAGCCTACCACTCCCTGAAAGACTGAGGAATGTGAAAAAGTGCTCTCAGAAATATGAACCTCTTCATTCTCAGTTACAAAAAGCCCCAAAGGAAAACACCTATTTTTCTACTTCCCAGCTTAGGAAACCTCAAAAAAGCATATCCTGTTTCTACACTTTTCTATTTCCATGGTCCTTGAATCCAGAAGACAGTTGTGAGTTTGACACCAGTAGATACTGGCAACAGGCTCAATTTTACCCTCTACAAATAGTGGTCTTTTTGATCAAGGCTAATAGTGCATGACCTCCTGGAATCAAAATATGAATTTATATGGAATGGACATTAACAAAGTAAATAAGGAAGAAAGCTGTTGTATCACTAGGATTTTAAATTTTGACTTACATTTATATTCCTTTTCTGATTTCCATGTTTTGTCACTCACATGTGTGTTGTTTCACCATTGAGCCATGAGTGTACTGTTCTGCAGTGCTGAAACAGAAACAAGAAATATTTGTGGAGTTGTCCAGGAGAAAATATAATGGCAACACTGCCAGTTTGTTTGCTTTGTGCTTGTTTTTATCCTCTTGGATTTTTTTCTCGGCTTTTCAGTAAATGTAAGAAATTTAGATCACAAAGCATGCATGACTATAAGAAGAAGAAATTGAAAGGAAGTGATCATAGAAAATTTTAAAAATCTTTTCTACAGTTTGAAATTTGGTGTTCCCTCTAAATAATAAATAGGATTTTTACTCAAGGAAACACTTCACCTATAACAACACTATTAAATGCAAATTTCTCCTGACAGTAGTATTCATGATACTGTTTCCTGGACGTTAGCAACTGCAATGAGCTGGTAAAGAATGGACTTTACTGTTTGGCTACAGAAGGAACCTAGATCTGTCAATCTGTTGGATCAGCCAGGGCCATGAAAACCCAGCTCATTTTAATGAACTACATTATCAACCAGCCTACTTTGCCTAAAATTTTAAAAATAGCACAGAACCACTAAGTCTCATGTGGCCTTCCTTAAGCCATTATTTTAAGTCAAGAAAACACTAGAGAAGAAAAATGAAATTTTATAATGTTGTCTAGGCCATCCAGAAATGATATGAGAAATGCTAGCATTTAAAAGTTGACAGCATCATCTATTGGAGTCTATATTAAGTGTTATATTTTTCTTTTTAAAAAGAATCTGACAATATTTACTTCAAGAAAGTAAGAAGGGAAAAAATCCTTCAGCTCCTTTTGGCCACCAAAGTGTGATAGAAAATAAATTGCCACTTTCAATTTGAATGTGTGCTTAAGTCTTCATTATATTTGGAACTTAAATTCTTTCCATTTCAAAAGCTCAGTGAAGAAGATTAAGGTTACTACTTCAAAATGAAATTATTTAGATACCAATTTTTAAAACGCTGAAGAGAGAAATCTTTTTCTAAAATTCTGATGATAAGCATTTGGAGTATATTTATTCCTCGAGATAATTAATGCATATTTTAGAAATTTCTGTGCTTTTAAGGCATAGTAGAGCCTTCAATAATATTAAACACAAAATGAGGCAAAAATAGCATTGCCTGCCTTGGTAGCTGGGTATATGTGACTTATTTGTGTATCTTGATATCTGTGGTATGACTGACATGATGTTTGAGTATTTGACTTATGAAGTTCAACATTAATTGCTAAGAGTGTAATAGGAAATATAATTGCTTATATTTCTTCCCTAATTAGTCCTAAATTCTTTACCAAGAAACACTTCCTGTAAGAAAGATGGGAGTAGCTAGTGACTAAAGACGGAGAGACATACAAATCTAGATATTGTTTGATTTTAGTAAATTGAGTGGGTCTGCGACCATGAGAAGATAGATTGTGTTTGATCCCCAAGTCCTACTTTGTTTACAAAAACCTCAGTACTTTACTATCTATGAACACTTCCGAGGGAGGTCCGTATGCAGCTGAATATCACTTTGATCACAGGGCTACACACAAAGCTTTTCTTCTTTTCTGTGTGTCCGAGACTGTGTCCATGTCATCAAAGGGGCTGAGTTGGACCTCTGCACTTATTTCTGCTAAGAGATCTAAAGGCCTTGCTGCTTTGTCAAGAATTCTTCATGATTTTCTGGAATAGGGGAGGTTGCTGCCCTGGATTTCTATTAAATGGAAACATTGTTTATACTTGATGGAAGTAACCAAAGGGTTATCTGACAAGATAAAGAGGGGATTAATGTGTCAAATGGGAAAATAAGCAACATGAGTAGATAAACCATAAAACCAATGGAATCACCCTATAAAAGCAATTCTTTAGAAGAAAGAAGGAAATGGAGGGGAGATATATATATAAAAACATGTATATATAATTTACATACTATAGTTACAAATGAAACTTCCTCTAAATAAAGTGCATGGAGTGAGGACTTCAATATGTATATACTTTGAACAAAATTGCAGAAGCTTCAAATCACAAAATCTGAGGATTAGGAGCGAATTTAGAGAACATCTGGTCAAGTCCTCTTTAGAATATCTTCTTGTATCAGAAAAGATTCAGTTCTTATTAAGAGGACAGAGAAGAAAAATGTGCAATCATTTATTCAGTTAATGCCTAACATGGCCCTGTAACTGGCCCATCTTAAGATTCAGTAACTTACATTTTAAAGTATTTGTTGTAGGAATGAAAATAGATTAAAAAGGAAACAAACTTTTCAAAATAAAATTCTACTTTAATGTTTTATTTATAGTAATACTGACAGTTTCATCTCTTAAGAAATAAACTTCACCCCTTTAAGGACTATGAGTAAAAGGAAAACTTTTTTATGGTCTATTCAGGAGAGAAAAATCAAAATGCCACATATTTGCATAGGATTTGTTTAAAATTTGTTAAGGGGGAAGCATTCTAAAAGTCATAGTCTGGAAGACAGTTGTTTAAAAAACAGCAATATTCAGCCTGGAAGAAGAGTGTCACGTTATCTATCTTTAAATATCTGAAAGACCACTGTGTAGAAGATGACATGGTCTTCCTCTGACAGAGTAGAGGACAGACTAGGGTCAGTAGGGGGAGGCTTGTATGACCATCTTTGAACAAGAATGGACATATGTTGAGCGTTTCTCACAGCCTCCTCATAAAGTAATACTTTTTTCTTCCCTTTTTACTTTTTACATGTGAAAATAACCTGAAGCAGAGAAAGGTTAGGTTACATTCCAAAGTGGCTTAGTTGGAAAATGCAGAGGGGCCATGTGAATCCAGGTGAGATGGCTTCTCTCTGGGGTTTCCCTGGGAGCCAAGAATGCAAGACTCTGTCTTCACTCTGGGGAAATGAGGGGCTTTTTTTGGTTTGTCTCTTGGCCAGTTAAGAGGACTTATTCTAGGACCAGCCAGCTTGAACTCAAATTGCAGTTGCTCCACTTGCTGGGAGGGTAAGAGTTAGGCTTAGTTGGGGTAAAGTCCTTACTATCTCTGAGCCTCAGCTTTCCTTCTCTGTTATACGCGAATGATAGGGGTAGTTACCTCATGGGATCGCTTTAAGGATTGAATGTTTTCATAATTATAAAGCACTTAATGCCTGACAGTATCTACACAATAAACACTGACTAAATTATTTGGAGTTTTCTGTTTGGATGGGCCTTTGTTTTCCTTTTTTAATTTATTTGTTTGAATTTCTCTTTTCAGATAGGTTGATTTAGATAAAAGCCCAATCTTCCCCCCAGTCAACCATTTTATACACACACATAGACACTTATTGACTCATCCCTCAGAAGGCCAGGTAGAATGAGAAAGATAAATATTGCCCAGACAAGTGTTCCTCAAAGTCTGTTCTTCAGAACACAGGTTCTTTGGGGGTATTTATACATGTTATGTGATAAGAAATAGCCTATACTTAATAAGTTTGAAGATGGCTGAGTTATACAAAGATTGAAAAGATCTAGATTATAAGATTTCTCAGAGTCCCTAATATGCAGCATGCATTGTGAAATCTCCAAGAAGGAATACAGTATGCTGCATGTCGCCAATCTTTTTGAATCAATAAACCCCTTTTTTTCCAGATGATTCTTGAAGCTGTGTCTCTGCTGTAAACACTGTGACATCAGTGATCTGAGCCATAGTCAAGAGGGGAAAAGGCATTTATCTTATTTGCAGTCTAGCCCGGGCTTCCCTGGTGGCTCAGTGGTAAAGAATCCGCCTGCAATGCAGGAGACACAGGTTTGATCCTTGGGCAGGGAAAATCTCCTGGAGAAAGAAATGGCAACCCACTCCAGTATTCTTGCCTGGGAAATCCCATGGACAGAGGAGCCTGGCAGACTATAGTCCATAGGATCACAAAACAGTCAGACATGACTTAGCCACTAAGCAACACAACAGTCTAGCTCAGTTCATCTAGCTAAAGCCTGGACTACTTTACTAATCATGATTTAGTAAAACCTGAAAATGAGTCATTTCAATAGATTTAGCATTAGTTCCTGAACATTTTGTCTTATTCCCACCTGAAGTGCTGCATCTATGGATGGAAAGACAACTCAGGAGGTATAGATAAGTCCAGAGAAACAGGTTGAGGCAGCCACAGACATTCCTTCATCTTGACTGATCAGACCTTTAAAAATCCCACTTCAAGAGGCAATTAATTCTCTCAGAAGCCTGAATTTTGCTTGTAAGCTGCTAACATACATCTGGCATTTTTATTTTGAATAAAAATGAAGTCCAAAATGTTGCAGATTTTCTTTGAACCATTGCCGGGTGTTTTCTTATGTTTAAAAGAAGTTAGGGATTTCCATTTTCATTTAGAGTATCTTTCAACATACATACACTGAACACTTATTCCTAGAGCTGTGGACCAGTGAGATGTACCTTTCTAAGGAAGCACTCACAGCTCTTGATGGAACTGACTTCACTGTGACACCTTCACAGTTTATAGTGCCCTTTGATCCACCTGGGAAATGAGGAGTCATCAACTGTGTAGTGAGAGTTAAGGCACTCTAGACCTATACAGGTCTTCTGGAAAAGATCTCTCATAAAACAAGAAATGATTAGAGTGAGAAGCCGAGAATTATTAAGAAAATACTTTTGTTTTAGCCAAAATGGGTGAAGTCAGAATTGACAGCCTCTATAATAAGAGTGCATGAAAACTAGTATTTTTGAAAATTGACACTATTTTCCTAAGGAACTTGTTTCTTTTACTCCTTGCTCAAATTGGAGATTTTTGTAGTCGTACATTTAAAAGATAGAAGTAATCTAATTTAGTGGTATTTTCAAAACAGATTTTTAAAAGAGTTAGTTTAGGTGTGAATGTATTAATAGCATAGTAACATATTCCCACTTTTGGTGGCTCATATCTAAAGTGACCCAACTCCTCATCTCAGGTGGTGTTTCTCCTGTTTCAGTTTATCACTTAAAATGCTTCATTTTATGGTTAGCAAGAAAGTTCAACTCAAAATGGTTTAGGTAGTAAGTGTTTTTTGCCTAAGAAACAGAAATGTCAGGTTTAGGCTCAGATTTGGTTATTTAGAGATTGATTGCAGTTATCAAGAACTCAGATTCCTTCCATTTGCCTGCTGGGTCATTGTCACTGTATCAGATTTTGTCTCTAGGTTGATTTCTTCATTTTAACAAAATGGTTACAGCAATTCCAAACACCTCATCTTCACAGAGCCA